CTGTAGAAAAAAAAAAAAAAAGGAGTAGATGACGAAAGTAAGTAAATCAACACTCTTTGTAATGTTAAAACATGAGCAATTATTTACAACCTGTAAAACTCGCAACTACACATTTGGCCTTCCCCTCTCAAAGCCCAACACGTGCTGGCCAACTGTAAGAGGATGCTTGAGATGGAGCACAGCAAGAAGATAATGAATTATGAGAGGTTTATACATAAGAGGTTCACCAAGGCAATTTACCAACTAAAGAAGTAGCACAAGGACATACTTTGAGAAGGAGATCACGCAAGTCATGTTCCAAAGTCTTATTGGGAAGCCCCTCCACTAATTGAACCTTATTGATCTCAACAATTTGGGTTGACTCATAGAACATCATCTCAAGGAAATACATAAAAAAAACATAAACACTTAACAAGTTGCCCCAGTCTCAGGGGCAATAGATGGAGGAGCGATGAAGGGTTATGAGGAGATATCCGCTCAGGTCAATGAAGATTCTTTTGGTACATAAGTTACAACACTCACAAGTGTGGTTTGTTGGGAGGATGAACTTGCAAGCACAATAGAAACCTCATGTAGGGTTTGCTAATAGAGACCAGACAGAGATAATGGTGTCGTTCAACGATCAGAATAACTAAAATAATGAACTGATCTGGTCTAGTGGATTTAATTAGCCATAGGAATGGAATGTCAAAAACCTTGATTTTGAATTGTTTGGATTGTTGTTGGGAATATACTTAAAATAGCCAATTACAATCCACTATAAATACATGTCATCTGATTTTTAATCGTTGTAGTCTTTGTCGTTGTCGTCATTATTGTCGTAATCGTTGTAGTCATCTTTGTTGCATGCATGTATTGGAGTACTGTCATTGGATTGCCTTGTGTTATGATTTTCTTCAAATTAATATTCTCTTAAATGTTTTACATCTCCTATATTATTCTTCCCTTTTTAATTTCTCTTTGGCCGGACTTGAGTTGGCTCCATTGATATTGTTAAAATACCTTGATGCCACAATATAATTTTAAGCTCTCATAATGCTCTTTTTTCTTCTTTTCTTGTACACAATAGAGTGAGAAAAGGAGCATTGTTGATGTAGTATACATAGAAATTTAGTTTACGAAGATTAAGTTAGCTTGCTGCTCAAATTGTTGTAGATTTTAAATGATGTTGTTGTATAAAATTTAATAAATATTGATATGCTATTCAAATCTTAAAATTAAAATTTAGTATAGTGGTATTAAAGAATAATATTTTTCTCAAAAGAAAATAGCGATCTAATCGGAATATGTAAAACAATTAATATAAATATTATACATTAATTTGAAAGAATACTCTAAATTAAATTATAAATCTGTTGTTCAATTATTTAGTTGATTTTATTTGAGCTTCTAACTAGCTAATGGATATAAGGATTACTCTATCTCTTTTCTCTATATTTTAAACAACAAAAGAATGACACTCACATTATGTACTACCAATCTAGAGTATTAATGAGAAGTATATATATATATATATACTAACAACTAATTTTTTTTTAGTAGTTTAAACAGTATCTTATATATTTTTATTAGATGTGATATTATTATGATAGAATAAAAAAATTTTTGGTAGCAAATAGAATAAGCATTGGTTATATATATATATATATATATACATACTTACACACACATACATATATATATATATATAAATTTTAATTGGTTTTAGTTATTTATATGTATAGTAGAATGCAATCTATAGCATATCATAATTATCTTAAAGATTGGAATCAGTAACGAATGATGAATTATTCCCTTCTAAATCATTGTTTGAACATGGATGTACCTTCTTTTTTCTCAATCTATATTGTGTTTCTCGCATACATTTGTTTGATGGTATTTCTCAACGTGTTCGTATTGGTTAATTGTTATTGACAATTTTTATTTTATTCTTAAAAAATAATTATCTTAAAGGCTAATATAGAGTGTCAAGAAAAAGTCATATATATTAATACCAGACTAATATCATTTTTTTTTTACTGGAAGAGAGATAACACTTTTATGTTATTATTTTATAAAATTAGTAGACGATGTAACCTTGATTTTTTTAAGAATTTGTTGAGTGACACGAAACTCATTATAGAAATATTGATATATATTACTTTTATTATTACATTTTAAAATTAAATTATACTAATTGTTTTTTAATAATATGATTGATATTTTTTGTAAGAGATTTTGGATTTAAATTGTGTATTCTTGTAACATTATCTTTAGGAGGTTGTGTCACTTAATTAAATGTATGAATTGTTACTAAAAAAAATCTAAATCCTAAATTTCATTTATATATATATATTTTAAAAAGTAAAATAGTTTTTATCAATAACAAGTAAATTTACAAAACCAACAAATAATATTATCTAAAATACATGAGACCTTGAACCATAAAATAAGAGCAAAAAAAAAAAAAAAAGCATAAACAACCACAAAATAGTCTAAACACTAAATTACACATCTAAAACAACTTCCTATATGTGTATATATTATGATATTCTTTTTTTAAAGGAAGTTTAGTAGTAATATGAAAGGGTGATTTGTGATACCGAACTATCTATATCTAAACAA